TCTCTTCTTGAATATTTCTTTATTATAAACCATTTCTTTAAATTCTTTCTTTGGGAATTGTCTTTTTAAAAGCAATTTCACTTGGACACACTGGTCAAATATAAATTTGATCACAATACCTTTATATTTTTTAATTAATAAATTTTTAATTTTGATTAATTTCAAATAATTAATAATTGATAATAATTTATAGATTAAAAGAGTTATAATTTATAATTATATATTTGAAAATAACTTGAAAAACAAACTTTTATTATAATATTATATTTTTGATATTATTTATTTATTGAAAAAAAAACCCCTCTTCAATTAAGAATTTTTTATTATTATTGAAAATTTAGATTTTATCTTTATTACTTTTAACTTGAAAATGATATTCAAGTTAACCAAAGTATTAAAGAAAAAATAAATTAAATAAAGATTGTTTTGTAATATATTTATAAAATATTTTTAAATAAGAATATTACAACTTTGTTAGTTATAAAGTATAAAACCTTGAATAAATATTGCTTTGATAAGGTAACCAGAATAATTAGTGAGAAAATATTTAAGTTTTTATATTGATTATATATTAAAAAAATTAAATAAAACTTTTTTTTTTAAATGAATATCAATTAAAAAAAATTTTTTTTTGTAAGACAAAAAATTCGATACATCAATTCAATACATTGAAAATGTCAAATGTTCGTTTTTATTATTAACAATAAGATTAAATTTTTTTAAATGCAAGAATTAAGGAATAATTATTTGAAATATAAACGAAATTAGTTGCATTCATCATCTACATTGAATATTCAGAATTTTAAATGAATCTCGAGCTGTAATTTTAATCAGATCTATGGAAGGAAGGAAATCAAGTTTATGAAGCACAATAACCTCTATCCAATAAGGAATGCTAGAAATATCATAACTATCAATCTAACATTGAATAGTGTTTTATCTTAAAATTTTTTATCGTTGAAATTTGTGCAGTGTTTAAAGAAATGTACAGTATACAAACATATACAGGTACATAAAAAAAATAATTAAATTTTTATGCCTTTGGCTTTGTGTACTTGAAATAAAATAACGATTCAACAGTGATTCATTATTCCATTATCTATGATCATCTCTGTCTCTTGATTTGCTGCGATGTCGATATGCTTCCAGACTTTCTTTATACCTGCGCTTATTCTCCTCTTCCTTGGATCTACTATGGCGATGTCTATCGTGATGACGCGATGAATGATGTTTTTTGTGTTTACGACTGCTACTGCGATGTTCATCTTTCGAATCGGTGCTTATATATTTAGAACGAGAATTTCTCCTATCATGGTCTTCCCTTTCAGGAGATTCACGCCGATGGTGTTCTCGGTGATAAGATTTGTTGCTACGGTGTTTATGTGATGAAGAATGACGCCGTTTTTCAGGTGATGATGAAGGTGTATATTTTTCTGGTGATGGAGGGGTAGAAGGCCTATCATCGTTCGTAAATGATATTTCATCGTCAATTAGTGGTGTATCGTCTTCGTTAGTCGAAACGTCAATGACGTTATCATCATCGTCTTCTTCAGAAGCTGGTGTCGGTTTAGGGGAACGCGATCTCGTTCGACGTTCAACATCTTCGGAAATTTGTTCTACGTAGACAGGTGAACTGACCCTCTCGCCTTGCACGTCAAAATCGGAATTACGAGGACTATGATAATCCTTTCCATTTTCGTCGTGTGTTGATTTCGAAAAAGATGGAGTTCGTGATAAATTTTTGGACAATCGATCATCAAAATATTCGTTGGACGATGATTGATTACGGATCTCTTCTTTCCTATCATCCGTTGGGAGTCGTCTGTTTTCCTTTTTCTCACCGATACTATCTCGTTTTTCGTAGCGCGAGCTGTATGATTCACGGCGATCATCTCGCCTTTCACTAATGGATTCACGCTTCTCCTCCCTCCTATCTGACAAAGCAGAATCACGCCTATCCTCTCTTCTCTCCGACAACACAGAATCACGCTTGTCTCTTCTGTCTGACAAATTGGAATCATGCCTGTCATCTCTTCTTTCGGAAATATTTGAATCACGCCTGTCCTCTCTTTTTTCAGATGCAGAATAACGACGTTCTTCGTAATATCGCCTATCATCGGAATATCGACGATCATCAGAATAATGACGTTCGTCTTTTTTATCCATGGTAATATCCCGGCTTCGACTACGGCGTCTCGAAGAAATTGATGACTTATGACGCATGTCCAATGACGAACGGTCATTCCTTGAGGGTGATCTGCTATGGCGCGATCCTTCACGATGTCGTCTCAATGACCGATGGTGAGATCTGCTTCTACTTCTGCGAGAACGTTCCTTGCTTCTACTGCGTGTCGGTGCTTTCTCTCTGGATCTCCTACTTTCTATATCGTCATCTGGCAATACATCCCTTTCACGTCTATCGTGTTCGGAAACGGAAGGGGAATGTTTGTCGCGGGTATCATCCTTGTCTACTGACATACGAGAGATCGATGATTTGCGACGTGCCAAGTCGCGGCCATAATCGTCAACAAGTCGTTCTTCGTCATATTTGGGCTCATCTTCACGAAAATCTTGCCTTTCTGACCTAAACATATTTGTGATGATTTTAAGAAAGCGAAGTGAGGCGAAGAAAAGCAAACACAAAATTTTGAATTATTTTCACTTACGCCTCCCTTCTTCCGGTCGATGGAGATATACTTGATTCACGCCTGAAATCACCACCCCCGCGCCCACCCGAAAATACGCGATCATTAAAAAATCCCGAATGTGTACCCCTTCCGCGACCACGTGCACGATTTGTGAAACTGCCTCGTGAAGAAAAACCACGTTGAAAACCGCCTCTGAATGCGGGCATTCCTGAAACACCTCCCATATTATATGGCGCGAAATTACCTTGGGGTTGCATAACCGGCCTATTATCCCAAAACTCATCGTATATTGGGGGTCTGAAGTGTGGCATAAATTGGGGCTGAGAGGGGAATGGCTCCGAGGGATAAAACCCGTCAAAATAACCTGGGTCATAATAACCTGGCCCATTCATCATGTTCATATTCATCTGAGGATAAACACCTGATCGAATAATTTTAGATTAGAGAATATATAAACATCTAGGAAAGAAAACTGAATAACAATCGCAATCCAATATACCTTCGTCGTACCAGTAACCTTGACCCTGATCATATCCAAGCCCATAATCGCCATAGTATCCAAATTGGCCATATCCTTGTGAGGACACAGGGTTTTGATTAAAAGATTTTCCTGAAACATTGGAATATTGATGTTGCCGTTGATTTTGCACTTGCTGTGACTGCTGAAAGTGTTGAGATTGCGATGGTTGCGACGTATGGGGTGTTTGCATTTGTTGCGACCCCGATTGCGTCTGTGATGGGGCGGGTGGCAAATCGTGGGCTTGCTTTCTAGGTAAATCTGTCTTGTTGATCTGTTCGCCAATGAATTAACGGATTAAATGAGAATACGGATAAGACTAGATTTCGAATTAGTTGATGCGCCTTACCGATTCCGTTTTCACCTTGTGACCTTGGGAAGATTGACCAGCATCTTCTAACAATTCTGTCGCATCACTCGAACCTTTTTCTTTTTCTTCAATTTTTAATGTGGTTTCGTCGTTTAAGGACTCAACTGTTTCTTTTTCCGCCGAAATTTCTATATCATTGTTAGCCACTATAATTTCATCAATGCTTCCTTCATCTTCATTGGGTTTAGAGGTAATAGGTTCATTCCTACGCCTAGCCCATTCTCTTAGATGACCTTCTACCGCCTCCCTTGCTGATTTGTTTGGTACCAATTCATCGGGAACCAAATGAGATCGACAATTCGGACACTTGAAATGTTGGTCTTCTTCGGGATTGATCAGAGCGTGACGAATACCTATGTTAATTTAATTAATCATTTATGTAACAGGAGATATATACACATATATATATATATATATATAGTATATATTGATTGATTATTAAAAAAGAAAAGAAAAAGATCATTTGTTAGTGAACGATAAGCTAAATTGAATTCTAAAGTGATTAATTTCGATAGAAACACGGATTTTAAGTTAGCATTCGAAAGAAACTTTGGATAATATATATATATATATATATATTTGCCCTTAATACACGCATATCTTGACATTGAAAAAAGCCTTCTTTGCTTTTCTCTCCAAATGGTAATCAATTGTCGAGAAAAAATTACCCATTGTATTAAAGGTGTGATTAGATTCATTATCACATTCAAGGAAATCTCAATGGACAATGGAGCAGAAAGAGCCATAACTTTTCTCGGACAGAGGAAGTGGCACTGTCGAATGAAAGTCGGTACTATCTAAAGGGAGTTAAGTAGCTTGACATATTTACAGTAGTTTTAGAGATTCTCTCTTTTTGAATTTAACATTGAACCCACTACAAAACTCCTCTGAAGAGGTTTCTTTTTTTAGGAAAAAGCATAGAAGGGAATATGTTTATTTTACAACAAAAATGTTGTGAATCAAACCATAGCATTAAATGCAAATAATATAAAGGGAATAATATAAATTGAAACAGTAGATAATTTTCTAACCTAGCATGTCTAATCTGTCTATTGAATTCACAATGCGTGTCTAAGAAGTATTGCCAATATCGACAACAATAACGATACGTACATTCATCACAAAATGAGGCCTGACAACACGGCGCTATGACAGCTTCTTTGAGCAGCCGAGTGCATAACATGCATTGGAGTTCAGCCGGGATCGGGAGATTATCTTCTAGAACCTCGTTGGAGGTCACATATGATTTCTGACGAGCATGGAATTTTTGCCACGCAGCACTAGAAGAGGAATGTTTAAATTCAGGTTATTACACTTAAATCCGTTTCTCGCACACATTCATTCGCCAAGAATTTATTTTAATAGCAATATACTTACTCATTCGCTTGTGCTATTACCAAGTTTCCATCCTGTGTTACGAGAACCCCTTTCCCAGGTGGTACTTGCTCTACTCTTTGCAAAAAGCTTCTTGGTATTCCTGTCGTCTTCCTTACTTTCATATGATCAAAGGATCTATCTCCATTTGTAGGGCAAGCTTGAATCCAATGTCCTATACATGCAATTATCAATCTTATTGGTTAATTGTGTAAAACTTATTGAAATGTCGAATCAAGCACTATTAAATGTATATACCTTTCTGGCCACACCTATAACATACGTAGTTTGGAGGTAGGGCTTTTTGAATTACTGGTTTTATGGGTGGACGAATAGGAGGAACTCTTCGCATAACAGGTTTGCTAGAATGATTAAATCAATAGTGGAGTGATACTTTAGGAAATAATGATCGTGTTACAAAGAATAAGCACATAGACACCGCAAAAAACTTACGAGGCCATTTGCTCTTGGGTTCTCTCCCAAAATTCGGTTGATTGCGCAAACATCGCTGCAATTTTATCTTCTTCTGTTTGTTCTTCGTTTGCACCTTGAGCGGTGATGGAAGTTGGAGTACTTCTTGAAACTTGTTGGGGTTGTTTTGACGGATCAAACGTTTTTGTAACCGATCTATGATGCCGGATATTCGCCCGGTCAAAAATTTTTTAAAAAATTTTTATTTGATATTTGATAATAATATTATGATAAAGGTTTCATACCCATTAGCAGATCCAGTACCTCCTCGATTATTGATTGGAAAGTTTCTCTGTGAAGGTGGACCTCCTCCTTCTAAGTAACGCTGTGCGGTTCCTTTGCCAGGTTTAGTTGGAACCCGGCGAACTACGATGGGCGTGTTTCTCGGAATGGACGCCGTGTCTTCTAAATAATCTAATTATTCCTAAAATTTCAGGATCCTTACTCTGAAAGTGCAGTTACAAGAACATAGCAAACTCTGAAGAAAGATCCTTGCCTTCACCGGATTCAGCATGAGATATTACAATGTCAAAGTCATTTCCTTTCAACTTTTTAGCTGTTAAAATCTCTTTTTTGGCATCAAACACCGTGATTCCTAACCCATCAAAAGTGAGCGTATCGTAATCTTTAGCGCTTTTAAACTTATAATAAATTTGAGCCATTTTGGTAAGCAGGGAGAGAAAGTTTACATAAAAAAAAAAATACTCTTGCTATTACATCCGCAAATATGGTATAAATATTGTCTATCACATGATCGTCTATTGTTTGGTCATACAATACGTCGCATTTTTTTTTTTTAGAAGACGAGCGGGAGGTCACGTTACACCTACTCCTCAAAAAAAAAACTCGTTCTCGAATAATTTAAAAGACAATGTATATATCTTTTGTATTAAAATCAAGAAAAAAAATAATCAATTATTGTTTTCATACTTTAGAAGAACAAATTTTAAAAGATTTTGTAATTTTTGTAATAGTTTTTTAATTTATTATAGATAATAATAGTCTTCTAAGAACAATATTTTATTTTGTAATAGATTTTGAATAAAGGTTCTTCTAGTCTATATATACTGACTCAAAAAATTGTCCCAATAATTAAAACTTTTTTGTTTATAGGATATATTTCTTGAGCGATTGATTTAAAAAAACTAAAAATATAACTATTAAAAGATTATGATTATATTTTTTGAAGAGTATTTTTTTTTTTTTTTTTTTAACCTGCAATCATGCCATGATAGCTTGTCTTTATTGAAAAATTGAAGTAAATCTACAATATTTTACAGACTTTCACAATGTGACTAACTCATCTTCATACAAAAGTACTCTAAGTCAGATT